ATCTGGCTCGGCTCGCTGGGCGCCGCTGGGGCGAGGGGCCAGGGAAGAGGCAGTACAGGGCGGCTCTTCCCTCTCCAAAGAGCGAGCATTTCCACCAAGCGGCCCAAAATATTTTCTTTTTTTTTTTTTTTAATAGAAATTACTATAAAAAACTAGTTTATCTAGAGCATCCTTAAAAAAATATTCCTGCAATATCACAGTTTTACATTGAAACTCATTAAAAATATATAGATTTCTTTAACAAAACGTCTCTGTTCTCCCCTGGAATCACGTCTCCAAGGCAGGAGAGGGACTCGGAGTCCTCGGAAGAGACGCCGAGGTGGGAGCAGGTCTGATTTCAGTGGCACATCCGGGAGGTCATTTCCTTCTGTCAAAGGGACAGACAAGACAAAGAACATGAACAAAGATCCAGATTGCCCGGTGAGGGTGTGGATGAAAAAACCTCACCTTTGTTTAGTGGTAAATACCCTTCTCAGGCAAGCGGTGACGGCTCTTAGTAAGAGCTCCGGTTTGGGCAGGTCCGTGTTCCCCCCACCCCTCCCATTCCCAGGACACCCTTCCGCTGCTCGGCGGCTCTGCAGGTCTGCTCTGCCGCTCGCGGCTTTAGAAACACCATCAGCACCTCCCAGCTCCGGGTCACGCTCGCCATCCTCCAGACCCCTGGGGAGGTGTGGTGCTGTCCCGCAGGGAGCGGTGCTCCAGGCATCCCCATCACCGAGGGGTACCCAGGCTGCGCACGCAAACGAGGTGAGAACGGCTGCTAGAAACACCAGGAGGTTGCTGAAGAACAAGTCAACTCCCCCCAACTGATGCCCAAAGGATGGGGGGGCTCTGGATCAGGGGGTGCAGGGACAGGCCGAGGGGGAACGGTTTGAAGCTGCAAGAGGGGAGATGGAGATGAGATGTGAGGAAGAAATGTTTTCCTGTGCGGGGGGTGAGGCAGTGGCCCAGGGTGCCCAGAGAAGCTGTGGATGCCCCATCCCTGGAGGGGTTCAAGGCCAGGCTGGATGAGGCTTTGGGCAACCTGGGCTAGTGGGAGGTGTCCCTGCCCATGGCAGGGGGGGGCACTGGGGGGGCTTTAAGGTCCCTCCCAACCCAAACCCTTCCGGGATTCCACAACCCTGGCTCAGCTGTGCCTGCACATCCTGACAAATTGCAACACCAACCAGTGTCCTGAATTTGGGCAGCCAGTTTTGAGAAGGTACCAGACACCTCTGTGCCACCTCTCCCCCCAGCCCCCCCCTTGTGTGCTGGCTGCAGACCTTGAGCCCACCCGGACACTCACCAGCGGTTCCAGCTCCTTGGTGTCTATGAGGTTGAACTCTTTCACAAAGTAGTAAAAGTGCTTGTAGCAGGTGTTCACGTGGGCTTCCGAGCCCATCTGGGTGATCCTGTCGAAATGGTGGATGTAGACGTGGACAAAGACCCGGAAGAGCCTGGAGAGAATCTTCTTCACTACTGGGAGGAAGTTCTTGGGGAAGGGAGTACCTGGGAGGGAAGACACAACCGTCAGAAACCTTCAGCCAAGTTCAAACTGCTTCCTTGGGGCTAAAATAAATTTATAAAACGGATAAATGGAGAGAAAAGGGCTTCTGTCCCTGGCAATCTCCAGTTCCCTTCTCCTTTTTCCTTTCCATTTGGATCAGATTTTTCAAAGCACAGCTTTCTTCAGTGACGGAGTGCTGCACGCCATCGACGGCTGCTAGCAGCTGAAAGCAAGAGACCAGCCTCAGAGATTCCCAGCAGCTGCTTCAGCCTGATGGAGTTTTCTTCTGCTCCTATTTGGCATGTTAATATAAATACTAGATACGACCGAGTTCCAGTCCAGAAGCAACGCCCCAAAAGAAAGAGTCGGTGCTGTTAACTCCCCGGAGTTATCTCTTGTTTTGATACGGCTTTAGCTCTTTGGTTAAAAATTAAAGACGTTAAGGTGCTTTTTAAAGGCATCAGTTCTTTGGGGTTTGTTCAGCCAGGGCCCTGCAGCGGAGCGGTCTGTCCAAACACCCGTCTCAGGAGAATATTACAGTTTAAAGTTCACACAGGTCGTTTCTGGAGGAACGAGGATTAGTTAAACCCTTTCAGTGCCCTGCAAGAACTGCAGCGTTCAGCCGGCGTTAAGAGGAGTTTGGCAAAAGCTGAGCTGAAAACAATAACAACTAAAAAAAACCCCAAACCAACCCACAACCCTCCTGCTGTTGGAAACTTGTCTTGCCTCCCCGAACAGAACAAACCCCCTGCTCACAGTCCCCGGGGAGGCTTGCAGAAGAGTCCTGGCTAAAAGCGACGCAGCAGCCGTTTGGGTGATGGGAGGAAGGGGTGGGGAGGATTTCAGCTGTCTGCAGAACTGGCTCTTCATGGCCCTGGTCCCCCCCCACCTGGGTTCAGCTGCATTTTAGCACGGGTGGAGGAGCCCCGTGGATGCTCGTGGGGCAGAGCCGCCAGCCGTGTCCCCAGCAGTGGCCAACTGCATCCCGCCAGAGCTCCGACGGGATAAACGCCGGGGCAGGAGGGAGGGAACTCCGCTGCATCTTGTCTTTTGCATCCCAGAAGCTCAGAGCTCTGAATGGGATCAATCGTATTTACCTAACGCTTTAAACGCCGAATTCTCACATTTCACTCAGCGCAAAACAAACAGAAAACCCAACACCTCTGTCCCGAAGCCAGCACACGAAGCTGTGTTTAGATTTAGGTGTCTTTGGCCAAATTCTCCTTCCCATCGCCCTGGCAATGGATGAAACGCCGCCCCTCCCTCCACACGCATGTCCGCTTCCCACCCAGCTGCACCAACCAGCCGAGCGCACGCCGGGAAGCACGGCGGTGGGAAGGGCAGAGTCAGCTAACGCCAGCCTGGGATAACAAAGAGCTAATTATGGAAACGTGGCCACCATCACCAGGCTGACGCCGAGCACGCACGTCGAGCCCAAGCTAGCAATCAGCTCGAAACGAGCTGTCCTCCAGGAGACCACGTCCGGCAGGAACTACTCAAGAGTCATGGCAGAGACTGATTTTTCTAAGAGCAGCCTCTTGTTCTCGCTGCCCAGGCTCAGCTTGGCTTTCCTCGAGGTATCCGTGACTCCAAACGGGATCTGGGACAGCTCGGGGTATTTTAGCACTCCAGAAGAGCTCTCGAGTTTCTCAGGTGCTTGGAAGACCTTACTACGCTGCCAGCAGAAAAAGAAATAGCTCTGCTACGGGAGGGACCTGGGAAACAGCAACTAGGGAACAGAAATGGACCTGAGGGCTTGAAGGAGAAGTTTCTGCACCAGCCTCCCTCCCCCAGCCACAACTGGAACCGAACTCACCGACATTGGTGGGAAAGATGTCTTCGTTGTTGATCTGTACCTCGATCCAGTCCATCAGGAGGTTCATGTACTGGGGAGCGGACAGGGCGGTGGGTTTTCGGTACTTGTGCTCGTCCTGCCATCGGTACTCGTACTTGGGCCCCCCTGACATGACGGGGCAGGACTGCTCCGTGCAATAGTCACTGATGGTGCCGTAGATCAGGTTGATGCGGTTGAAGAAGTCCACCACGTGCACGGCCACCCAGTCGTTCTGCTCCTCTCCCGGTGGCAGCTGGACGGCGACTTTCAAGTCCAGGCCAGCGTTGAGCGAGGCTTGAGCCTTCTTGTGCAGCTCAAAGCGCTGAGTCCCCGGCTCAAACTTGCGCTTGGGCCGGAAGGTTTTGTCTTTATTGAACACTTGCTTTAGAGCATGGGACATTTTTTCTTCTCCTTTTCTTTGTTTTCCAGGTCCGTAGCGATGACAGCCGGAGATGCAGCGCTGCTGGGGTGACTGATCTTCACAGAAACCTCCCTGCGCTCATCTGGTCCCGATCTGCAAGGCAGCACAGAAGGGCAGCGATTAGGAGCAGCTCTCTCAACAGGAAACCTTGTCTAAATCCCATAGGAAGAAATCTGGGATACCATCTGGGCCCTTGCCCCAGATCCGAGCCGGGGGGGAAGCCAACGCCAGCTTTCCTTCCTCCCCCTTCTCTTTCCAGCCTCGGCTGCCAGAGGTGACCTGGGCTGGACAAAGAGTCCCCCCTGCACCGTGTCCCTTGCTCAGCGTGGGGGCGAGGGACAGCCCCACAGCGAGGAGACGCAACGACAAGAAGCAAAATGAGATGTCAACAGTCCCCCCCACGCTGCCATCGACCCCGACACCACCACGCCGCGACGCAGACCCCCCAGGAACACGGAGAAACTCCACCACCGCCCCAGCTCCACTACACCAGAGAATTACGAAGGGTAAAACTTGATGCTGGGTTTTACCCGGATCAGATTTTTCACCTACGCTTCCCCTCCCTCTTTGGAAACAAGTTCACTTGAAAGAAAAGGTGACGACAGCCTGCAATAGAGTCCGGATCTGTCGCCAGACCGCCGTTTGAGCAGGAGCCGCAGGCGCTGTCGCAGCGCTAAAGACGGGACACGAAAGGGAGGAGGGGAACAAGAAGAAGAAGTCGCAGCTCACGCACCCGTAAAGAGAATATCCTGAAATAACAGCAGCTCTGAGAGCAGCCACAGCCTCTGCTGCAGGTGCAGACAGACCACAACTGGATTTTTCACTTCAGTTTAGCTCCCTTCAAGTTGAAGGCTGGTTGAAAGCTAGAAGACCAGGGACCGCTCGCCTTCCTCCTCCAGTCTGCGGAACAGAATGAGCTCCGAGAGGGTGAGACCCAAGCGAAGGTCTGAAAGGATGCTGACGAGAAACACAGCTCTGTTGATCTGTAGCTAATTATACCTCCTCCTTTGTTCCCACATCCATCCCCTCGTATAATTTGTGTCAAGCTGCTCTTTGATGGAAGCTCGAGGCAGAAAGCTATGTGTACCAAAAATATTATTTCACATGTGCTGGACAGAGAAATAAATCAAGTAACAGAAATAAACTCAAGCTGATGCTGTACCGAACCTGGCAATAAGAGCTTCCACAATTTTATAAGAAAGCAAGCAAACAAAACCCTTTCACCAAGCAGAAATCTACTTAGATTTACATTAATCCATAGTGCTGTTCCAATAGATAAATAGCATCCTCAAAGGTCGGGAAGCAAATCCCAAATTCAAGGTCAGGACCACCTTTGCCACAGTTCAGCCCCTCTCTAACAGATGCTGCACAGCGCTAATCAGCGTTTCCTCTCCGGAGAAAGATTAAAAAGATTTAAACCAAGGCCTCTTGTTTTCTTATTTAATTACAGCAAGGAAGAAAACCCAAACCACTTCAGTTCGTCCCACTAAGAACAGGCTCGATGTTTCCCCTTGCTGTTTTTCCTCCGGGAACGGGCTCAGTAACCTCTTCCGTGCCGGAGCAGAGATCCCCAAACTCCTGCTGCAACACGGGCCATGACGCTCGTGTCGGGAGAAACCGAAAAATCATTTTATTGTTGTTTGGTGAGATCCACCCTGGGCTGAAAGGTGAATCCACTGCACGCAGCACTGCTAAAAAGCTGCTGCAACCCCATAAACTGTTGTGAGAGAGTCAAAAATACGAAGAAAAAAAAGAAACCACCCCAAAAAGCACGTCCTGACGAGGTGTTTGATCACACCACAGACCCAGTTAGAGGAAGCAGCGAACAGCGTGGAGGGACATCTGAGCACAAGGCAGCAGCTTTGGTTACCGCGAGCTGTGTCACAGCCTCACCACATCCTGCGGCCAAACGACGAGGCGAGCCGTTGGCGAGCCGGCGGGGCGGCACCTCCGGGGACTGCGCCCACGGTGTCGCGGTGCCACGTCCGGAGCGAAGGCAGGACCAGCCGCCGAGTCACCACCAATGTGCACGGCAGGTGCCGAGTCTGCAGCTCTTCCCAGCAGGAAATCAGTCCCAGAGAAGGACTTGCACGCGATGATTTCCTTCCACTGGAGACAGAAACGTCCTTTAGAACAAAGAAGCCAGAGCATCGCCCTCCAAACAGTGCCCCGGAGGGCTGGCAGCACCCTCGGCACAGGACGGCTCCGTTCCTACTTTTTTTCTTCAAGATCTGTCCGATTTCAGCGACTCTGCTCGCATCGGTGCTGGCCCCAGCCCGCAGCCAGGCTCTGTCCCTTCTGCCGGGCGAGGACGTGTTTCCCGAGCAGGGGTCGGGCTGCGACTGCGGGGCCCGGCACAGGGAAGAGAAGGGGGGAAACAGAACGGCCAAAGTGCAGGGAAAAACCCCAAAAATCCCCCAGGCTCGGCCACACACATCAAGAAGCAAATGGTGACTATTTTCCAGAAGAAGCTGTCATTTAAACAGGGTGAGGAGACTTTTAATATGGGTTATTTGGTATCAAGGCTGTATCCATCCTACAAACAACTTCCTCTTCCTATGCAGACACCATTCACCACAACCGGGGAGCTCGACGCAGCAGCAATCGTCTCTCAGACAACTCAGCATCTGTCTGAAGGCATTAGTAAAATGAGGAGCTGAGACTTCAAGCAGATGCAGCCTATTTAATTACGGTGTTTGACTGCAACCGAGCTAAAAGAAACATTTAGCTCTAGGAGGGGGAAAAAAAAATAAGGCACAGAGACCAAAAGCATCCCTGACATTGCTTGGAGATGATATCACACGTACACCCCCTCCCGCCACAGGCAGGACTCACAGCTCCGGCAGCGCTGAGACACTGCCTTCACTCAGGAGAGAATGGAAAAGTCAGGAGCGATGGGGATATGGGACATGCAAAGCACCTGAATGGTATTTGCAAGCTTCAAAGATGAGGAAAGAAAAAAATCCCTGAGAAACAAACCTGC